TATATATATATATATGAAATGATTTGTATAATAAGATTTGTTATAATAAAATGTTTATAAAGTACTATAGAGAGCAGTGGCTGCACACTGCTCGATGAGGTCAGCCAGCTCTTTTCGGAATGGTTGAAAATTATAGATACGTGTATGAAGCAATAAACAGCATTTGTAATTAATGAATTAACGATGCGTGATGGATGATCGATGAAAGTGATATAGAGATGTTATTTTGATATGGTGTAAAGTAGCTGTGGGTGCTTTTTGTGTCCTCGATTTGTGAGGAACCAGCATAGGAACCATAAGTGGGGAATAGTCTTTCGGGTGAAGTGGACAGTGGTTGCAGTTCTTATTAATCAATTGGTTTAGGACAAAACAATATATGACCCGTTCCTCATCCTTATTTCAAATATAACACTTCGTAATTTTTGATATCTTGCAGCCACTTATTTCTCATTTCAGCTGTAATCATCAATCAAGTTCATTATCATTTCTTATTTTGTTATCGTTATTATTGTGATTATAATAATCACAGTAATTATTTATTATTATTACCTTTATTATTTTATTTCTATTATTACAACAGTGATAATGTTAACAGTAATAGTAAATAGTAACCATTATTATTGTGCCAGTAGTGAATAATAATAGCGATAACAATAACAATAATAATAATGGAAGAGAAAGAGAGGAAAACCGAAGCATTAATATGAATAGAGTGAGGAATAATAATTTTAAATTAATCAACGAATACACTGTAATTAGAGAAATGAATTATACATATATATGTATACATAGAATGGTGGTTAATGAAATAGTATTAATGAATGTTGGTAGTAGGTTAGTAAAGATGAATTTATATGTATGCATCTATAAGATATAAGAGGATTGGAATGGTTATACAAATATAAAGGGAACAACAACGACATGAGACAACAATTATTATTACTTTTATTATCGCATCATTATTTTTATTATTGCTATTTTTATTACGATTGTATTATTTCGTAAACACATTTTATATAAGCCAATTGTCAGCAAATAGGGATGTATTTATCGAAAATAAATGCCTATATGTATATATATAT